CCCCCCCCCCTGGTTCTCCTTGGAGGACTAATAATTGTATGACCAGGTTCGAGGGGGGGCTAGTTATAGTATTATAGCTAGTATGTACCTGGTAGGGTTTACATAGGAAATTATATAGGAAATATATGTACTGGCAGAGGTTTTGATGCTGGAACTGACAGGATTCACTGACCCTATTGCGGCACAACTTAATTAAACTGATTTGGATAAGTGTAGTTATTTTTTGGCCTGGACATTATCACCCAATTCCCGCAGTAACGGTTTTGCCTTGGAAAGAACGGAGAATCAACAGGTTCTGCCTTTATAATGCATTATTAGAATCTAGCCACAGTACTTTATATATATAGTGTGTGTATTTTACATTCATGTATATTTTAGTGTGTGTCAAGGGTCGTCTCAAAGGGCTTTTTGTGCAGTTAATTCTTGTACCTTATTTTATGGTGTTTGTTTTCTTTGATATGAAGCCATGAACATGTTAATTGAAACCCACAGATCCCAGCACAGGAGCTTGTTGCTATCAGATCAGTTAAAATAATATCTGAATCCAATAGCAGGGATGATCCGATCAATAGAGCTTGTAAATTATATGGATTATATTCATGCTCTATTAATCCCTGATATTGGACTCCAAGTATTATTTTTATTGACCAATAGAAACGAGCTCCTTTGATCCCATGCAGGAGAGGTTTCCCTCAAGCACAATGTATGAATATGTGTCACTTGCTACAATTTTTTTCATCTAAAAAGTCTGAAACACAAAATAATCTGTGAAATCATTGTCAAAATCTTACTTTTTGGAAATTATTTGCAAACCGGCTCCCTGAGCGTGTTCAGATTATTATCCTAATTTATATTACCATACAGGGTTGAAATTAAAGGTCGCATATACAATTATATATAATCATCAATCGCCATATGCATTTTTTTGGATTGTCTCAACATGCACTTTTTTCAAGACTTTGTCATAACAGACATAGTTGCAATGTGGTTAATGAGATCCTCCTTTTCTTTTTCTTCATCGTTTTGGTAAACTGTGTTTTAAAATAGGAAGTTTGTAGTAACAGTGCTTAATTACCTGCTTAAGATAATTAGCTACTATCAGTATTTATAGCTGCATCACAGACTTATATTAGTAATTTAGTGTAGTGCTAATAATTATAAGTATGTGGCTGCATTTGTTCAACATTTCTTACTTTTTATGCATGTGCCTGTGAGGTTGGTTACCTGGGGGAAAACAGTCCATATATATTTCACCTGAGCAAAGTCATTACATTTACCAGGGACGTTCCTGCATTTACATATTGTATCATCAATGTAAGTAAATATTCATAAACTCTACAATACAATAATCTCTATGCCATTCAGACAACTGTCATTTCAAATTTTCAACACAACATGTTAGGCCTACTGTAGCTTTATCATGGCCATGGGCGCAGACATATTGGTTTTGTGCAGGCTTATGGATCGTACGACACATTCCACATTTTTAAATAACGCGCAACATAACTTGATTCAGTGGCAGCTGTGGTCAGCAATATTGTTTACCACTTTAACAACCAAATAACGCTTGTGGGATAATGAAACTAACTTATATAGGCCTATGATTTTAAAGTAAATATTTCCAACAAACAAAACTCACCTGCAGAATGAGATATTATATAATTAAGACGGAGAATAAAACAGACCCGGATTACGGTACGGCTTTCCGGATTTCATTTACAGAGTATTTCCCCTTGCATCGTAAGGCACCCGCATGATGTTGGGCCTCGAACGTTTTTTATTCACTAACATAAATATGGACTAAGGAGGTATGGCTATAATTCAGTAGTAGGGCAACCTTTTTTTGAAAGTTGATTGGTATACTTAGTATTATAGTTGATATAGATAGCTGTTACCACGGACTTTTTTTTGTAGATTGTAATCCGTGTGTAGGTCTACATTTCTTTCATAACTTCTTTGCTATAATGAATTGCAAATAAGTGATGCACAGAAGTTGCAACTCTTCTTCAATGGACATTAATAAAAATCTTCGAATATCCAAATCAGATACATATGTTGAAATCTTGATAAGCAGGAACAATGACTACTGTCATGGGGTACAGCTTTGTCCTTGCAGGTCTATTTGCAATCCCTACTGCTTTTAATAATAAAATCTCATTATTGCTTATATAACCAAATTGCAAGTGAATATATACGGGCCATCTAAGCCAAGCTCTTTACCAGGTATGGGTTTAATCTGCTCAGACAGATTGGTCTATAGTTTCCTAAAAGCTCATAAAAAAAACGTTATTTATTCATTTAATTATTTATTTTACTTTATTTTTTTTAGGGGGGGGGGGGGGGGGGG